CGCGGCGGGGAGGAGAAGAAGAGGAAGAAGAAAAAGAGGAAAGCGGCGGCTCATGCGGAAGGCGGTACGTTATCTTAACAAATACCCCTTGTCTCCCAGGGCTGAGTTATCTTGGAGACCCCAAAAGCGCCTACTTTCGTTTTCCGCCCGGTGGGAGAGGATTCGTCGGCTGGACTGCGAGAAGTACCGTGTGTTGGTCTGGTGTATGTTTTAAAGCCCTGGAGGTCTTCAGTATTACCTGTTCTCCTATTCCAACTGTAACGTGTCAACTCTAACGTCTACTAAACCGGTAGCAACCAATTTAATTGCTGCATAGGATTCTGCTTTGTAGCATTAAGTTTGGCTGTTTTGCTTGTTTATTATACAAATACATATACTGTCTTTCACAGTAGAGCTTTGACAGATGGATGTTTCCTGTGCTTGAATGTCTAGCCAGTATGTCTTTTTAGGAAGGCGTTCAGCCTTTGGCAACATCTGTATATTATGAAACTAAAGTATGCTGGGAGACTACCCCCAAAAATTGCATCCTGCAAATATTGCTAGATTTTTATATATTTTTATACACATATATACCACACATATATATATATTTGAAACTTCTGTCTCTTTTGTGTTTGATCTTTGTGACACTTCGCATGGTTATGCAAATAAAGAGGTGTTTTCGTGCACTTCTCTTGAGGATTCAGGTACTTAAAACGGAACAGACATTACATTTCACATGACCTGAGCACAAACCGCGTTGGAAACTTGATGTCTGCGTTACAAAATTCTTTCCTATCTGTAACTTGTTCCACGTTTCCACAGAAAATTTCATATAGCATACATGAAGCTTCACTGTCTTGCTGTGCGAAGTGGATTGTGTGCAAGGAACTTCTGAATTGCTCTCTGCCTCAGAAATTCCCATAGAAACCTTGCCTCCCCTTCTCCTGCCCCCCTCCCACCCCACAAAAAAAGCATGACATTTGTAAGGGGTTTACAGACTAATGACATTCACTCTCTGGAACAACTTTTAATGATGAACACATCCTTCGTATCTCTGACTGACTTGACTTCTGTAAAATAACACTCTAGGTACAGAAACTAAAAAAGCAAAAACTGAAGAAGATGAATCTGTGGAGGTAGAAGATGAAGATAAGCAGGATTCTGGAGAGAAAGAAGTGGAAGAGGAGGAGGGGGAGGAGGATGATGAAGTGCCCAGTTTACCACTAGGTGTAACAGGTATCTTGTGTCCTCTTTTTCATGCGTGTGCAAAAAGCCAAGGTCTAACACTTTCTTCCAGAGCAAGTTGCAGTTTTCAAATCAGCTTTTTAAGTCAGGTGTTGGAATAGGTGACGTGACGCTGGCAACTGTTACAGCTATTAGTCAGTTCCTGTTCTTTGAAATTTGCATTATATACACACACTCCTATTAGTCTTAAAATTACTAGTGAAAATCTGTTTTAAAACATATATACACACATTTAACTGTAGAGGAAAAGTCAATGAAGAGCAAGATGGAGGTGTATGACTAGTAAATTTGGCAGGAGAAGCAGTGCATTCATGTTCATTTCTAACAGGTCTGTGTAGTATTCTTAGGAACGCATTAACACAGAGTATTTTGTTAATGTCTTCAGATTTTGTGGTAGAAAGGAATAAGAAAAAGTCCTTTGATTTTTTTTCATCTAGGTCAATTTTAACTGGATCATCTCAGAGGACAGATGGAATCAGAGAAATAAGTTTGAATATTTTCTTATTTTCCCGCCTCACTTCAGGTGCTTTTGAAGACAATTCTTTTACTTCCCTGGCTGGTGTTGTCAGTGAGAATACATTGAAAGGCATAAATGACATGGGTTTTACGCACATGACCGAAATTCAGCATAAAAGTATTAAGCCACTTCTGGAAGGCAGGTAAGAAATACATCTTTTTAATCACTACATGGACCCCAAATGTTGTGTAAATTTTGCTAGCAAGCTAAATACATGAAATGTGACTTTCTGCAGCTGAACTTTTTTTTTTTAAATATGTTCTCATATGTTTTCTGTATTTTGTTTATAGACGTTAATACAGGTTAACAAAGTATATCTGTGTTGCATGTGAAGAAAAACTTAGGGTAAGCTCATGGAAACTGCTTTGGCTTTGAAAGCGGGGAAGTTTGTTTTCACTAGTCTTGTTGTCAGTGTGTCTCAAAGACGCCATCTCACGCTGTCACTAGAGACGTAGTGACCAATTGCTGTGGACCGCATCTGCCACAGAGCTCTTCATATCAACTTTACTGGTTTCCTTTAAGCCACGTTACGTTTTTACGTTGTCAACGTTGTTCAAAATAGGATTGTTCTTTTCTCTGTATGATCAACTAAATACTTCTTTTTCTTACTTTGCTGCATACAGGGATATTTTAGCAGCTGCAAAAACAGGCAGTGGCAAAACACTCGCGTTTCTTGTTCCTGCAGTAGAGCTCATCTACAAGCTAAAATTCATGCCTAGAAATGGTAAGGCTCTTCATTTCACAGTTGAATTTTACTGTGGCGCAGCCATTTAGGGACGTGGCTGGGAGGGGGATTGGACGAGTTGTAACTCACTCGTCTGATGTATTTTTTAGGAACGGGTGTTATTATTCTTTCTCCTACTCGAGAGCTTGCTATGCAAACCTATGGAGTTCTTAAAGAACTTATGAATCATCATGTTCACACCTATGGTCTGATAATGGGGGGCAGTAACAGATCAGCAGAAGCACAGAAACTTGGAAATGGAATCAACATCATTGTAGCAACACCAGGAAGACTGCTGGATCATATGCAGGTAGATAAAACATTGATGTCTAGTCTGCGTTATTAAAAGATAATAAAAGTCCTGTCCCTGTCTGACTCTGAATTTGTTAATCTTCTAGAACACTCCAGGTTTCATGTATAAGAACCTGCAGTGTTTGGTAATTGATGAGGCAGATCGTATCTTGGAGGTTGGATTTGAAGAAGAAATGAAACAGATCATAAAACTTCTACCAAGTAAGGAAAAAAAATCTCTTCCTGGAAATCACTTGACTAACATTATGTCTTCTTTATGATTCAATTATTATAAGAGAAGTCATTAATTTTTATAGTTCTGTAAATGCACTTCAGAGTGATTGTCTTACTCTGTCCTTTCTTTCTGATAGCTAGTATATATTACTTTATTTAACATCATTTATCTGAAGGACAGAGTTTTCTTGTGCACTTTAGGGATATAATTCTGTTCATATAAGATCCTTTTAGTTTAACATCTGCGTTCTCTCATTCATCTTCCTCTGCCCGTTTATTTCGTACAATTCATTTTTTCCTAATAAGGCTTAAATATAAGGAAAAAGGTCTTATGACTTGCAGTTTGAATTTTCTTCATACCTCCAAGAACAGTATCTTAAGGAAGTTTAAGTATTTACCTTAAAATTTTCTTTTCCTAATTTTTCATTTAGTTATTCCTTGTAATTGATGTATTAAACACATTCTCAGAGTCAACAAGGCTCTCCCTTTAACTTTCAAAATGCAGAAAAAAAACCCCATGGAAATAATATATAAAAAAACAGTGATAAATATTTTGAGGTTCCATATCTTAAATATTAAAATTCAGATCTGCGTGTTTAAAATGCAGATATATAAATCTAATAAATAGCATCCTGTGAAGAATATTAATGAACAGTGCTAAAAATGGAAAGGGAAGGAAGAGTGGGAAAATTATAGATAAAAGAAATTTTTATTTTGCATGAGTTTAATTTTGGTTTTGTCCTGTTAGGAAGGAAACTATTTTAAAACGGACACTTCAAAATAGGGAAAAAAAAAAATCAAAAATGGTGGCACCGGTGGTTCGGCAAGAACAGTTGCTGCTGTTCTTGCAGTTGTGAAATGGAACAGGCTAAGTCTGCGTTTTCCATGTACTCGTGTAACAAGAAAATGTTACAGGATCAGGGTGTATATTTGAGCTGAGAGATGACAGGCAGGCAGGAGATTTCCTACACCTGCTCTAAGACCATTGAAGTCACTGAGGCTCAGTACAGACGTACTGCCACCTGACTAAACAGCATGCACAAATGTGTCTATGTTCTAGACTGATTTTGCAAGACAAACAGTAACAATGCACTTTAGTTTTGGTACGTTTTTTCTTGCACAATCTCTAGCATGATTTTTTTTTTTTAAACAAAAACATTGATGTTCATGGGAATGAAATCAATTTATAGTTAGAATTACAAGGTCGGTCTCTATTTAAATCATTGTTTTGTGTCTAAATTGGAGTGCAAATGATTATTAACATTTTCCCAGAGAGAAGGAATATTGTGTTTTGATAGCTGTTAGGATTTTGGGGGTGGGGGCAGCCTAAGTAAACATCCTGTACAATCCGTAATACAACTACACCTGTCTTTGTCAGTAGCAGTATGTTTGAATTAGAATGTAATTCAAAAGAGTAGAAGACTTGCTCGGGGAAGTTTGCAGCTAGAGATTTTATGGACTTGCTATTTGAATTCTCCTTTGAAAAATGAGGCTGTCTTTAAAAATAAATATTTTTTCAGAGCGCAGACAGACGATGCTTTTTTCTGCCACACAAACCAGAAAGGTTGATGATCTGGCAAAGATCTCTCTGAAAAAAACGCCACTATATGTTGGGGTTGATGATAATAAGGAGACAGCAACAGTAGATGGTCTTGAACAGGTAAAAAACAAGTGTTATTAAAAGGGGTATGATCTGTGAACATACCAAGTCCTATGTGTTTTTAACTGGGTTGTACAAACACTTGTCTTAAAGGGTGTTTACCATCCTAATGGGCAAAAACTATCAGTTGCCTAAAGGGCCTTATTCGGTCTGCTAACTATAGTAACTTATATGCAGCTAGTCAATGTTTGCAGGACAGATGACATAAAACCTCATGAAACGGTAATATAGTTACTTGCACTTGTCTATTCCTACCTGTATTACATACCTAAGCTCCAGTTGTCTTTCTAACTGTATTTTCCACGTTACTGACTAGAGACATATATACTTCAGATATATTTCATTGTTGCTGCTTCAGATAATAGCTAAATGGAGTTGCACAGCAGTTTCTGTGTTTGTGCAGTTGACATAGTGAGTGTTGTTATAAAATTACTGGTAGCTATGTATTACCTTAAAAGAGTAAACCAGTAGCAAGAATTCCATAAAATAAAATTCTTGAAATCACTAAAAAATGTTAAGAATCCTATGCAGTTTTTTTCATGCATAATGTCAGTAATTCAAAGTTCTTGAAATGAATTTTTATTGTATAAACTAATTACTTTTCACTGAACTTACATTAGTTTGGAGAATTAATTAAAAATTACTTCTTCATATTTCAAGTTAGTACAGTCAGTTTCTCGCCAAGGTCATCATCTTTAGGAGTTTCATATACCAAGGTGAGGGACAGACAACAAATTGAATGGTCTGGCCCAATATAGCTGGAAAAATAAACTGTTTGGCCTTTTTATTTCACAACATAACACTTCCCTGATTTGAATTATTTGGCCTATTTGTTTCACAACATAACACTTCCCTGATTTGATTGTATTGCTGAAACCAAAGTTTGTTCCATACTACTTTATTTAACAGTATTTAAAAATTTTCCAGGGGTATGTAGTGTGTCCATCTGAAAAAAGATTCCTTTTGCTCTTCACATTCCTCAAGAAGAACCGGAAGAAGAAACTAATGGTATTTTTTTCTTCATGTATGTCAGTGAAGTACCACTATGAATTACTCAACTATATTGATCTGCCTGTTTTGGCCATTCATGTAAGTATTTTATTCATTGATTAATTAATCTGACAGTACCCGTAAGTTGTTACTGACCTTGCATTTGCCTTGTTTATTTCAGTCCAGTTTCTAATAAACAGATACCCTGCTCACAAAACTGATGGTGATCTTGGTTAGTCTGTAGAGGAAGGAGATAAAACAAAGACTATGTAATAACAACACTTCAACACTGTTAATCTTGCTATTTTCCAAACGAGGGTTGAACACTGATACTGATTTATGCTCTGTGTGTAGAAAGCTTTCTGTTTTCTTCCAAGGGGTTGCTTTTCTTAAGCACTAAAACTCAATTTGTGGAGCAAAGCTATTGTCAGAGGAATCCAAACACTGATCCCTGGAGTGTTGGGTGCTTTTTCTAAGGCCAGGGTGATGTTTGGTTTTACTGTGCTGATTCTTACCGTTTGGATGAGTGTTTTAAATTTTTATCAAAACCACCAAATGCATAGTTCAGGAGAAAGAATTGACTGAAAGTTTATGAAATAGTTATAACTGACCACAAATGTCCTTTTTTATTTTGTTTTTTTGGGGATTTTTTTTGCTATACTTTGATAGAACTGTAACAAGTATTATTTTTTTAATTTTTTTTTTTTTAAACCTGTAATTTATCTAATATATTGCTAGACTTGCAAATGTCCTTTTTCTGAACTTCCGGCATTTTTGCAGCCCTCCTGAAAGGAATGCTTATGCAACCAAATTTTTAATGCTTTTGAAGTTACAGTGTAAGCTCTGAGAGATACCATTTCATGTAGCCCTGTGCTGTTTACTGTGGTAGCATTGTTTCTTCACTGTGAAATGGTCCTGCTTGGTCTGTACAAGTCCATAATATGGACAGATCCCCTAAATTATTTTATATTTTGGCAGTGATACAATATGTGAAATGGAAAATTAGATTTAAGCTTACAAGTTGGCAGGGTTTTGGGGGTTTGGTTTGTTGGGGTTTTTTTTAGTTGATATTTCATCCTTAATCTGTTTGTTTCCTTTTAGGGCAAGCAGAAACAAACCAAACGTACTACAACATTTTTCCAGTTCTGTAATGCAGAATCTGGAATACTGTTGTGCACCGATGTAGCTGCCAGAGGATTGGATATTCCTGAAGTTGACTGGATTGTCCAGTATGACCCTCCAGATGATCCAAAAGTAAGTTAAGGAAATAGAGAAACTTCACAGCAACAAATCAAATCCTAGCTACAGACATAGTTGCAGATAAAAGCTGGAACTGCTGCTTGACAGAGGTCAGGATTCAGCCGTGTTCATATCTAGCCACTGATTTCTTCCACTTCCCTTCACCAGCTCCTAGGAAATACTGCACTTAGCTGAGACCTTCGTTACCTTTTCAAGAGTTGCTTTTTAAAACATTATTCTTTGTGCTGTTAAATTAATTTAAAATCTAATCAGCTAAACAACAAAACACTTCTTGGGAGGAGTATCAGATTATACATGCATCCCTGAGTCTCCTAACAGCCTTTCCAGTGGAAATTTGATTTTTATTTAAAAGTCAGTATTCTTCTTTGAATAAATGTCCAATGTCAACAAGCAAAACTCAAAAAACTCAGTTTTGACAGATACACAGAACAAATATACAAAAAGCAAAGTTTAACTTTCAG